TTTTTTCATTCTCATTTTTCTACTCATTTTCAACCACACATTTTTCAATAAAATAATATTTTCCATCACATCAATAACTTTTCCTTCATTTTTAACCACACATTCTCCATCAATCTACTATTCAATAATACATTTTTTCAAAAAAATGTGTCACAAATACACTCTAAGTAAAGAATCAGTCTACAAGTACAAGAAATTTGTACAGAATTGGTACAGAAATTTGAAATCGACAACATAGATTCAAAGTTGGAAAAAAAAAACACACACACAAATGCATCCTGTACAAATTCTGTGAGTTATTTCCTGTACTGAGGGAATAACTCATAAGTAAATTGTTTGTTAGAGTTAGTTTTCTTGAGCTCAAAAGAATTCAAATTTACTTTTGAAGTTACTTTTTTTTTTGCCGAACTTGTTTTCATACCAACCAAACTTAATCAGCAACTTTTAAATTTAGTTAAACATGTCCTATATGACCATACTCGAGAATGATAAACTTCAAAATAATTCTTCCAATTTCAAACGACCCAAGCACCAATTCAAAAGAGTTAAGCCCACCATCACCATCACCTTCAACACCCCCACCCCCCCTCTAGAAATTTAACCTCAAAAGTCATTTAGTACGTGGCTCTATCGTGATAAAAATATTTATCGCAATACATCATACACATTTATTATGCCACCCTATCCTAGCAATTATAGATATACATGATTTAAAATGCCCTTACTTCTCTTCCACAAGTGAAGACTTCTATTTTCCCTTGTCATTGCTTAAATGTCAAAATTGAAACTATAGTAATTCTATGGGTCCCTTTTTCCTTTGCAATTGACGGGTTCACGATTCAGGCCATGTTTGAGTCCCCTTTTTTTTTTTTTTTGTCAAAAAATACATTTTGAAATAGAAATTTGATAGAGAATGTGTCGTTAAAAAATAAGGAAACATTTTGGATTTACATTTAATATTATTTTATTGAAAAATGTATGGTTGAAAAATAAGAGAGAAAAAAAATGTATTTTTAAAATAATGGATACCAACCGAGCGCTCAATATAACGTGTAATTGATGGAATATTATGAGACAATTGGGCCCAAATCCCTTTTCACAGCTGCAAGCCAAACCCCACCTCACTTTATGCAAGTATGTATATATGCAAGAAATATCATAGCACCAAGTTCAAACTTTAAGCAAAGAGAGTTTTTGGTAGCTTCTTGTACTCAAAGCATGTAGACTTTATACACTTCTTTTCCCATTCACTCTCTTGAGTTAGGAAATATGGGAAAGTTATTTTTCTTCTTTAATAAAGAAAGATGCATATTAGGGGAAGCACCAATGAGATTAACAAAAAGATGATCATTGATTTGTTTGGAAATCTACAAAACAAATCATGCATATAGGTTGTAAATTTACATTTTGCATACTGTATTTTATTTATTAGTAAAGAAAAATATATTTTGTAATAATAAAAATATATACAAATTATCATTATAAATAGCTAAAAAGATAAAAAAAAACCTTAATTAAAAATAACAAATCACACCCTATACATTAACACTTTACATACCATTTGTATAGCTATTTCATTATTCTTTAAAAATTAATTACTAAAGAAGCTTAAGATGTTTACAAAATTTATGATCTTCATTTTCTTTAAACTACAACTTGGAAAAAAAAAATTTAAAGAATTAATAATGTGTTAAAAAATAGTAAAACCTTCATTTAAAAATTTTCCAACATTATAAAATGGACAAATGGAATTATTATTTGTCATCATGTAAGTAACAAGTTATGTTAAATAAATAATTTTTCAAGAAAAAAACAAGGAAAATAGTATATGATAGTATTTATTATTCTGCATATTAAAATGAATTTATTATTTATTTTAAGATTCATACTATAATTTTATACAATTTTGCAATTTGATTTTCAAGAATCCATACATTATTTTTATTATTTTTGTATGGATGATTTTTTTTTTTTTTTTGTTATTACGAGAAACATTAATAATAGAAGATAAATATAAATATTATCGAAAGAATATATAGTTCTGTGTGATTAATGAAATTAAAAAATGTCACGATAATAGTGTATTGAATATACTTTAATTAATAGAAAATTAAATTATGAGAAAGATAGAATTAAGAGCGAAAAGTTACCTTTTTTTATTGGATGAAAGAGTAATAGGAATTACAATTTTGAAGAATAATAAATGGTATAAAATGTTATGTAAATGCTTTTTTATTTTTTATTAGAGGTATTTTGGTCTGTTTAGTCATTTATAATGAGAAATTTATTTGTAAATATTTCTATTTTTCCCTCAAAGTGTGTACCTATAAGTAGAATTCTGCATGCAAAATGCAATTTTGTAAAATATGTTATGTAAATTGCAAGGGGTATTTTGTAAATTTTGATTAATTATTAAATTTAATGAGTGCAAGAAACCAAACATGTTATAAGTCTTGCCTAAATCATTATCTTTTGCATCACTGAGGGATCAAATCTCGCAGCTTTCCAAAAGGAGAAAATGTTCAAGTCCCGAGTTGATGATCAGAAGCATATTGCTCATTATGTGGTCGAACTGTCTATAGCCATGATGAGAGAGATGCATGTACAGAGAGGTATTTTGATTAAAGCTTGAAAATCACTATCTTTTATTGGTTTGGGTGGAGGAGCATACTAATGAGAATATTAAAGGCAAAGTTAAAATCTCAATATTGCATAAATAGTAATCATGCATGTAGAGCATAGTTTAATTAATAAGGCATGGTAGAATCTATGTTTTTTAAGTGTTTTTTTGGGAGAGATTATTTGAAGTGAAAAATTATTATTTTTTAGAAAATGTATGATTAAAAAGTAGAGAAAAATTTTGAATTGACATACAAAATTATTTTAATGAAAGAATGTACGATTAAGAGTGGGTTCATTCTAAAATAAGTTATGCCGAACAAATGTTATGGCTTCAAAAATGACTTTTCAGCATCAATTATACCTTCTGAACATTTCATACATGTACATAATTGTTTACATACACGTAATATGGTGAGATATGATTGGATTAGAATTTTTGCAACAAAAAATAAAAATAAAAAATTATCTACTCTGTTTTTGACACCTCATTTATACGTAAACTATTATGTAACTACATTATGTAGACATTGACAAGTTATTAGAACATGCCATGGTTTGGTGAATGCCCCTTCCATGAAAGTGGACGTACCTCTTTCATACACCATAATAAAATTTCATTAATAAACCCTTCCAAGTGTGACAAGGAAAGGAGTGGGGTTGCATTTTTATAAATTGTCTTGTAAAATAAAGATGGTGAGTTCATTAATTAATTTCATCTACCTCCTTGCCAGTTAAGAGTTTCGCAGGGAAATCTTAAAAATCCATTAAAAATCACAACACTTCATATAATAATATTTTCTTCCTTGTATATTAACTCTATTGAAATCCAAGAAAAACCTTAGCCAATGTAATCTTGAATAACCTTGCTTCCAATTCTTGTTTTCTTGTTTATAAACTCCATTGAAATAATCCAAGAAAGAGATGTATCAGTCCCAACATAACAATGAAGCGATCTTTGATCAAAACCCTTTAATTGTATTCCAGCAAGACAAAATCCTTGAAGATCTGCTGCTGGATCATGTTTTGATGAACTGCGGTAATGTTGAAAATAAAGACACCAAGAAGAGGAAAAGAAAATCATCTGCAGGTGTTCAAGAAAAGAATATTGATGACAATAGTAATGAATCCAATCTTAGGAGAATTATGCATAGAGATCTTGAAAGGCAAAGAAGGCAAGAAATGGCTAACCTTTACGCTTCGCTTCGATCCCTTCTTCCTCTTGAACACATCAAGGTGAGTAAAAACCATAATATTTTAGCTTTTAATGACAATATGGTGCAAATGTTTAATACTATGGTGAGTTGAAATTGTTCGTCCTTATCGCTCATAGGGATAGGGGTATATCTTGTACTTATTGCTATAAATAGTCGACGTAAAGCTACAGACCTTTTCATCCTAATTCCTTATCATTTCTCTTAATTCCTCTAAATCTTGCATACATCCTTGATGTTTTGATCAGGGAAAACGTTCAATATCTGATCACATGCACGAGGCTGTAAATTACATACAACAGATGCAAAATAAAATAAAAGAACTGCAAATTCGGAGAGAGCAACTGAAGAAGTATTCCAATTCAGGAACCCTAATTGGTTTTGAGAAAGGAAGTTCTTCAAACAATGATTTGCCTAATTGCGAAGTCATAGTGAATCGAAGCCAGGATGGAGTGGAGATTTTAATCAGCTGTAGTTCTAAAGATGAAGGATTTCCCCTTTCAAAAGTGTTCACTGAACTTCTCGAAAGAGGGCTTAACGTTGTTAGCTGTGTTTCTGCAAAAGCAAGTGAAAGAACACACTATAGAATTCTGTCCTCTGAGGTACAAATTATTACTCAGATATAGGAATGAATAATTTATTTGTGTTCTGGGATTAAGGTTTTCTAGATTATTTTCATTAACTATCTTGTTTACATTGATCATATTGCAGGTCAATGATTCCAGTATTGATTTATCTTTGCTGCAACGAAGACTGGCAAATGTCGTCAACTGTATTTAAAGTTCGAGCCATCGGTTCTTAATGTTGGTGACTGCTTACTTATGGTTAGTTTCGACCAAAAGAGTAGGCAGTCTTGGGCTGTTACTTTGGATGAGCCGAACAAATAAGATGACACAAACAGGTTTTGTATCGTGCACATTACTCAGACCGTCTTTAGAAAGTCATGTTGGGCAAATATGAATCGATCTCCAAGGAAAAAGTCTTGGCACAGTGTGATCTGAGCTTGGATTTACAAATAAATTGTGGATGATATGCCACCTTGTAAAATCAGAAAGACTGTAATTTGGAACTCAACTTGTGAAGTCAAAATTATTCTGAATTGCATTTGGATTTGATATTTTGAAGATTTTCATTGTCAAAATTGCCTCTCTTTTTTTGGCTTACCATTCAATTATTTTCTTGATATGTAGCCAATGCAAGTCAATAATTTCCTAGTTCGATATATAACAATCTCGAATAATTCTTGTTAACATAATTCAAGTTGCAGACCAATGTTTGCATTTAGTTCACCGTTCTTTTTATCGAATGTTTGACACTTTCAAAAGCTTAACATTTAGGAAAAAGACGATGAATTTTATTATTGATCACGTCTTACCGGTTTCAAGTGAATTTGATAGAGTTCGCTAAAAACTGTCATACAAAAATAAGAAAAAGGGTAAAGGAAAAGAGAAATGATGCACGTACGTAAGAAACAGAAAAGATAAAAACAAATGCTCACAGCAAGGAGTGGGGTGAGTTTTTTTTTTGTCAATATTTTACTGACATAGGGTGGGCCACATGTATTAATTTTTGGCAATGTACAAATACAAATTTATTATCTGCTACTTTTCATGTCATGTCATTTGATCATTAATGCTGATTGAGCCACCAACTAAAGAACAAATTGATCAATAATTTAGATTTTATATTCAACATTTGAAAACTCGTAAGTGCATGAGATCGTGATCAAATAATATAATGATTAATAAAGTATCGAATCCATAAAAATTATGTGTTTGACCGAATTAAAATTAATTGCAACTTTAATCGAATATCAAATAAATTTTGTGATTTTTTATACTAATACATAAATTATTAATTAAACTAATAAATGTAAGTAAATGTATTTTTCAAATATTTGAGATGCATTGCTAAAATGTCGAATTTCTCTTATTATTTCATTTTTAGTGTAACAATTAAAGTGACAATTTGAAATCATTCATGTTGGTCAATGTTTTTAATTTAATTGAAAGCCTTCATTGATAGCGATCAAGTTTATTCTACTCATGTGATCCTTCTATTTCTCAATAAAAGATACAAACATGATAAATGCATTAACAAGTGCTAGAACATCTATTGAAACCATATAAAACATAGAGGTGTATAATCTTATTGTCTCTCTCGATAACAATAAAATTCACTAACAATTCAATTGGTGATCAAATAATTGAAAAGAGCGATAAAAATGATAATAAATATCCACAAATCAAATCAAATTAAAGTCAAAATAATTAATTAAAAACTAAAAATATCATAAAAATGGTTCATCTCATCCTAACAATGTATAAAACTAGCCTACTATATCGAAATTACAAGAAATCATATTTAAGTTAAAAAAACACATCCCGAATTTTTTGATAAATTGATAAGATGATGAATTTTAAAATCTTGAATCTCTTCAATTCCAATGATTTCTTGATGAATCTCCACTTGCTTCTTCTTTTCTTTGCCCAAAAAATGTGTTTGAATTTCAATTGATTGAATTCTTACAAGTCCCCTTCAATTCTCTCAAAAAAATTATAAATTTTTCGTATTTAATGATAATAATTGATTAATATTTGAGTATGAGATGTATATGGGAGGTCTTTAATATGTATTATGTTGTTTGGTATTTGTAGGAGTATAAAATTGGTTAAAAATCACATCCGAATTGGTTTTCAAAAGAATTCCAATCGAATAAGAAAATTATCTTCACATGTAGATTTTTTTGTCTCTGCACAGCAGTCAGTATTTTGGCTATACATTTCTTTCTTGATATTCGATTGAGGAAATTCATAGTGCGTTGGAAAGCCAACCAAGGGCCTACAAGTTTGCTAGAAATAGAATTTTCTCAATTCGAACGTTTACTATGCAAAACATGGGTCTCAATGTTCGACAAGAAATGTGGAATATAACTTGTGCGATTGAAAATTGATTTTTGATAATATTTTGATCATATTCCATTCATTTTTGAATTCTAATTTCGTCAAATTTTCTTCTAGCAATCTTTAAAATATCGTTTTGTGGTCCGAAATAACTATTGAATATTTGTAATTTGGTACTTAAACTTTAAACTTTGTCATTTTTCCTTAATTTTTTTCTTCAAATTCCTCGTTCAACTATTGATTTTACCTATATAACTATCAAATATATATATTTCACATCCGAATAGGTGTATATACAACTTGCTAGAGTAAAAATTTGCCCAGTCGCAAGAAGATTCTCTTTCTGACACTTCAATGCATTTATGGAAATCTGATGGATTAGAGAGATAAGAGTCGGTGTCAACCACTTCTGACTTGATAAAATGGCTACATAATTGGAACAAATACATATATGTCGGGCGAAGTTACTTTCAGCAACAGGATTTTTTTCATCTTATGTGGTAATGTTTTTGGTTCGATTGGTATACCCAGATTCACTTTACACTAAAGAAATTCAATCCTTATTCCATCCTTATTATTTTCAAAATACATTTTTTTAACTAAACATTTTTAATAAAATAATATTACACGTACCCTAAAATTTTTTCTTCATTTTTAACTCTACATTTGATATTAATCTACTATTTCACAATGTATTCTATACAAAAATGGGCTCGAACAGACCAATTAACATTTAGGCCTTGTTTGATTGTAATGAATTCTATGAAAAATGTCATATTTGAGGAAAAAGAAATTCCACTTTGACCGTTTGATTGCAACGTGAAAATGAAAATCGAATATCAAGGTACAACCACTTTAAACTGTATTTTTTTAATTTTCATGGAAAACGAATTTCTATGAATTTGGTGAATTTGTATTTTTCAACTAATATGAAATTTGAATTCTTTTTCACATTTGTCTATCAATCGGACCCTTTGAGTAAGGGATTCCGTGAAGCTTGGGGAGTTGAAGACAAAAAAAAAAAATCTAGAAATTGGTACACGTTTGACTTTTGATCTTTTATTGATCAATCATGCTACAATACTAGGGCCTACGTGGCCCAAGATTTATCCTTCATCGATGCTGCAACCGACAATAATTTGGGTTTTATTTACTTTTTCTAAAATTTTACTCCTCAAGAAAAGAATGGTGTCTGAGTGATGAGTATTTGAGGATCCTATGAGATGTACTGTTATAATTAAAATTTGATTTTTAAAATAAAATTTAACTTCTTATTTGATCTCCATTATTTTTAAAATATATTTTTATTATTTCTTTTCAATTACACATATTTTAATAAAATAATATTACACGTAAATTCAAAATTTTTTCGTATTTTTTAATCTCATATTCTCTATCGATCTATTATTTTAAAATATATTCTTACCCAAAAGTAAATTCAAAGATATGAAAAATGATGGCAAAAAGGTGGTGTTGGAAATAGTTGGCTAGGCATTGGGAACAAAGTGGGGGAAGGTGAAGTTATAAAGTATTGGCGAGCCGTTAAATTTCACATTCAAGTCTAGACTTAATTTTGGCTTTCTTAGATCAAGCCCCAGTTTGAGAGACCTTTTTTCATTCTCATTCTTCTATTTATTTTCAGTCACATATTTTTCGATAAAATAATATTTTTCATCATATTAATAATTTTTCCTTCTTTTTCAATTACGTATTCTTCATCACATAAAAAAAAAATGCATTCTTGGGAAAAAAAATGTGCACAAAACAGGAGCCAAGAATCGAAAAATATATTAAAATTTTGAAATTATTTATAAATTTTTTAATTAAAAATATAATGCCTTCTTCCTCGTCCCATTTTTCTTTGGCCATTTAAAATATTTAATTACATATATACATTTTCAATAAATTTATGGGTGGCTTGATATCGCATCTTCTTTTGAGCACACTACAATTTAATGGCATTATAAGTTTCTAATCTTTTAATAACTATAATATATTCTTGGCTTTTTTTTTTTTTTCCGCATTCTTATCATCAACTTTAAGTTAATTAGTGCAACTTGTATCTAGTGACAATTTTCAACCAAAAATTCTAATAAGATAGCATAAAAAGAATGATTCTAATAACAAAGCATAAGTAGAATGATTT